TCGACGTGCACCATAGTGAACTAAATACTTAAACGAAAATACAAGATTTCGCTTTATCTAAACATAGCCATTTGTCGCTTGACTTATAACTATTTATACTTAATTTGGTTTAATCGTTTGCCAACATTAGATTGTAAAGAAAATGAACCAAAAAGCCTAGACAATATGGTTCCTCTTATAAAAAATCGTTGAAATTCATGTCCTCCAGATAACTGTTTTGTAATTTAGTTTGTAATAAAATTCCATATTGTCTAGTAATTTTACAATAAACTTGAAGTTTTTCGTGATTTTAATTAACGATGGAAATTCTGTTGGAAAAACTTTCTCGTAATTTCATAAAATTACAAAATGACACGATCGAACGAAAAATAAGATGTACAGTAGAACTTCATTTATTTGAACTGAACGATGGAAAAATATTTGGAAACTGCAGTTGATAGTAATAATTAATAATAATATAGTGAAAGTTATAATAATGGCTTTATCATGTCGGTTATTGATGATACCACGACATTAATATTAACAAATAATTCAAAACAAACTTGACAAAAATTTATGGTATTAATTGTGCTATTTGTAGAATACTGAAAATTTTATTAAAGCATTGAAATTTTTAATAAATCGGAGAATGAGGTATAAATAAGAGGATCTGAAAGTTTTGAAATATAGAAATTTAGAAATTTAAAAGATTAGAAATTGAGGCATTTGGGAATTTAAAAGATTAGAAATTGAGGAATTTGGGAATTCAGAAGTTCAGGCATTTTTTAATATGAAAATCTGAAAACTCAAGAATTAAAAAATTTGGAAATCTAGAAATTAAGAAATCTTTAACTATAAAAATCTCCAGAAATAATAATAGTAATAAAGAAAAGTTATTTTCATCGTACTTTAAACTTCATATTCACATAACTCAAACGTATTAACAAATAGTAAAACACTTCTTAGATTTCAATATATTTATCGGCAGCTCAACGCTTTATTCTTCGATTTAAATTAGTATTCGTGTAAAAAGAATTTAAATATAATTTCAAGAATTGATAGTGCAAAGTAGTAAATAAAATTAATTAAATATTTTTTTAAAGTTCAAATAAATGTAGTCCTACTGTTCGATAACATCGTAAACATATGTGCACCCCAGCGCATCAGACTTACAGTTAGCCCTATCTGTAAAATGTTTCAAATTAATAGGGGAAAAATACGGGACAAGTATATAAATTTCAGATATGTATAACACGCGCCTTCGTGTTGGCTTATATCAATATCATGAACACCGAACGAACATTCAACGAGTAACGCTTAAAACTTATTGTCCTTATGCAAACTCTCCAAAGTGTTCGACAGAGATATTACACGATCGCTTGTTGGCGTTTCCATGAAACGACTCGTAAAATATTTCCATTCGGTAATAACTAGGCTATACTAACGATACTAACTCGTGCGCCTATGAATCTTGCTTGTAATATCGATTTCGTCCGTTTTCTGATAGGGAAAGATCACTGATTGAATCTCTAGAAAATATCTCGATAATAATGAACGGGAACAAGAAAATTTTCTGACAGACTGTACTTAAAAAAAAAAAATCATTATTTGATCGAAATCGATACTATCGTCGCGTCGGCCATTTTCCGATATACTGATCGATTTTTAGTTATGAACTGATTTATTTGACAAAGTACGTTGTATTACGATTGACATGATAAAAGCTATCTAGTGCAGATGATTTCGATAAGGTTTATCGAAAACGTGACAATTTTATAATTTAATATGTTGCGTTATTAGCGTAATATTAAACCGAAAATTTTCTTAAAAATTGAATTCACATCTTCTTTTAATGACCTTTATCAGGATTTCTCAGGACTATGAAGATCGAAAAGATCGTATATATTTTTTAATCCCTTGATGATGTTTAAGTACAATTTGTTTAGTAACTTTTATAATTATATAATCTCCTATTGTCTCGTGAAACTTTCAAATTCAGAGATTTCAGTATTCTCAACTTTACAATATTTTCAATTTTCATATTAATTTTCAAATTTGGAAATTAAACAATTCCTAAATCTTTTCGTTTTACTTTTTTATTTAACTCGTTCAATAAACCATGAAATTCTGGTAAATTCGTGTTGTTTTTTCTAATTCAACGTACTTTAAAAAATAATTCATGTTCATAATTCAAAATGGATTGTGTTCTCGTAAGACAAATTTGCGCAATTATTTAACGGAAGTTATTATTACAGCCCGTTATTAAACATGTTTTATACTTCTTCTACAATGAACAGATTGATAAAAATTTGTACAGCATGTTCAATTTAAATGTATACATGAAATTATACTTATTTTTTGTAAGAAATAAAATATTGATTTGTTATTACTTAAAAAAACTTTGAAATTACCTACATGTTTTTATTTTGGTTACTTTATTCATTTTATACAACTGAATATAAATAGTCAAATATAATTTCGATAATTTAACATTATTCTCATATTTTTTATTTACACAGATAACAGAATGTTGCAATTATTTAAAAAATGAAGTCTTGTCCAATAAAAAACAATAAATTCTGTAATTATTTCCTTTTGCCAATTCCTATTAAAAACAAAAGTAGAATTATTTATATTTTTTTAACTTTTCCTTATTATATTTTATATTTCTATAAACAGAAATTTCAAATTATTATATAAGTTAATGTTCGTAATTTCATATAATCTTCAATCAAAATGAAACATTCAATAGAAATAATAATAATGAAAGTAATTTCGAAATCTTTAAATTAAAAAGAAAGAAAATCAATTCCATTATCAACATTTTGATTAAAACAATCGTTTTATTTATTTAACAATTAAAAGGATTAAATATACATATTTAAACTGAACATACTGATATATATTTTCCATATGAACAATCAAGTTAAATTAATTTATTTACTAACTAATAATGAAAAATTTATGTATATAGTATAATGTAATTAATCGTCAACAGCTACAATATTAAATTGTAATAATTCAAAAATGTTTCTATAAATCTTTCGTTATAGTTAATCGATATAAACGCATCTATATTTAATTGATATAATTATTGTGTATAGAAACAAGTTGACGATATAACAACAAAGGCAACTCTTTAAAAAAAATTACTATTATTGATTATATAAAATTGTTACTATGAGTTCTACGAAGACTCGAATTTTCTTCGTACGTCAAATATTTATAATAAAAGAGTAATTTTACAGAAAACATTATTTATGTATTACGATATAGCATCGAAAGTCATTCAAAATTCTTTGTGTTTCAAACGTTTTACTAACCTCCTCAATAATTTTTGAAATGCTACTTTTTTCACTCATTTTTATTTACTGGTATGTAACAATGGAGCTGCTTTCGCTTTTGAAAAAATACGCTTAAAAAAGGAATTAAATGAGCTAGTTTTTACTCATACAGAAAATGCAATAATATCACTACCGATTAGAGATCAATAAAATATGATCAATATTCTTATTCTTCAAAGTAATTAAATGTAAGTCGAATTTCGACAAGCACCTCCCTATGAATATTTATGAACTATTTAACCCTCTATGCACTAATACCATCATCCGTACTAAAATGTGAAACGACAAATACATAAAATACAGATATAGTCTTTAGGAAAAGTTTAACTCTTAAACTGCAGTGTCACTTATGATAATATCTCAACAAGTCAAGTATGAATTGCAAACTCTTTTACTTATATATCATCTAATAAATCTTTACTTTTTCAATGTATATACATATGCAGAATTATTACTGTTATTTCATTCTTATGTATATTTAAACTAGTTTAACATAATTCTAATGGCATCAGTATCCTGAATACAATCATTTAGTGACATAGAATCCTTTTTAATAAGTGATTTCACACATTCAGAATTTAAATATAGTTTTATACATAAACAAAACACAGAGGGTTAAATAATATTAACATGTAAACAGTATAATACTACTCTTACTTTTGTAAAATGAAGAAATGACTTTTCTCAAAATAAAGCAACTAGTTCTCATTAGGATTTAAAAACTAACTAAAATTAATAATTATTGTATTATACGTACATAAATTTATACGTTCAAAGAGCATAATATAATTCAAGTTTAATTTTCAAAAAGAATGTAATTTCATTTGGAAAACTTATATTTCAAATTATGAAGATCTATGTAGAACCTTTTTTTTGAACATAACTGATAAAGCTTATAGTATATATAATCCTGGAATGTTGAAACAGTGATGCAAGAGTGGATCACTTACATGAAACTGGATACATTATTTAGAAAATATTATCCCAAACCATGATCTTCAAAGAATCCCTGTGGAGTTTCCTCCTGAAACACACAAATGATGGTGTTAAATTAAAGTACACGTAAAATGTATGCTTAAGGATATGAAGAGGGATCAATTTCTTTGATGCTGCACTTTATCATACAATGCAAATATACAATAATGAAAATATATAAACAAACACGTACCTAGTTTGCAATTAAGTAATCTCCTTGATGCAGCCTCAAATGGTGAACTGAACCCTTTTCATATAACTGAGTATATACTTGTATGGATACACAAAGCTGCACAAAGCACATGTTGATTTATTGCCTCGTTTAAAATGCTTAAGCACTGATCAAAAGAAATGTCTGTATTGCATGCTGCATACAGAATATCTCTGCACGTATAGTTAAATAAGTATACATATTGTCAAAATTTACGAATTTTAACAAAAAATAGAACCTTCCTAACAAATAACGAATAAATAATAATTCTAATGACGTTTTTATTTTAAATAGAGGGACATAAAATATCTTAATAAAACCTGAAAGGGTAAATACAATAACAATTACATAAATGGGTTAATTACATGGAAAAGGTTTTATATAATCTTGTGTACAATTATATAAAAAATTCCTTTGTATACATTTATTGTAAATTGTGTTAAAATTATAATATTAAAAATTGACACTGTTTATGTATATACACATATGCACATATAAAAATGACACCTTCAAATGTTTTTTCTAATTTAAATACTAAAATAAATATTTTTAAGTAGACAAACATGAAAAGTACTATACAAAATGTTACGTGATTAAAAATATTGTAGATTCAATACTTTTTTATCTACATACTTAAAGAAATAATAATTTCCTAAGTTTGTGTAATTTTATTGCTATAGTACGGGACTAATTAGATTAAAGCTATTGTTTACTAAGTTATAAAAGGGCAAGTAATTATGCAGCTAAGAGGACATTTTGTTCAATATATGTATAACAGAGTAATATATGATATACATATATACGTATATATTACTCTGCTCATTTTGTGTTAATAGCATTTTTCTATATAAAAATATGCTAAGAATTCCTACACTAATTTTGTAAAGATTATCAATGGTAAGTAAAAAATTGATGTTCAATATCTATAGAAAAAGTAGAGATGTATGATGGCATCATGCAGCGGGTGAGCCTGCTCCAGGGTCTTGATTCATGTGGGCTGTCAGATTGGCCATGGAGGGCATGCAAGAATGCAGCACCTACAAAAGCCCTATCTCCCGCAGAGCACCTTCCACAGCTTCATCCTTCCACAAACAAACAAATATTCTAGCTAATGTTTAGTGTATTTCTAAATGTGTCCTTAGTAACGGAATAATAATGATGAGCTAAAAGCTAAATTTTACTATTAAATTTTGTTATTAAATGTATTTATGTAAGTATAGTATTGTATGTAAATACATTATAAAGACTATGCAAATATGGTGTACAAAAGTTTATATAATAAAATTTCATTTAAGTTAAATTCATTCCCTTTGATACAAAATGCTGTTATTTTACTTGGATCAATACAAAAAAAGTCAAATTTATGAAATGTATTAAAGAAAGATGTATTGATCAAGCAAACATGCATTTTAATACTGCTGGCAAGAATTTACATACCTAATTTTTTAGATATATTTTATCATATCAGAATTTGGCATTAGCTCAATTTATTAATAGCATAATATATATGATTTATACAAAATCAAAAATTATGATTCTCCAATCTAGAAATGTCTTATGCAAATTTGTCAGGAATTATAATAGTTATTTGAAGTAATATGTATAATTATACTTCAAATTATAAATATATTGAAACTACTAAAAGAATTTTTACAAAACTATTTGAAAATTGTTAATGCAAATACCGAAATGTTCCTAATGCCAAATTATTTGATATAATTAAATGTATACTTAAAAAATTTATCATAAATTATTTTTATCAGGCTATAAAGTAAGCACATCCATTGCTTTGAAGTTGCGTACAAAATAGTGTCTCACTGAAATATTACAAATAAATACTATATGTCTATAAAAAGATCACTTTATAAATTATGCAAATAAAATAACACACAATCATTCTTTCACAACAATCGAACTTCATATATGTAAACATTATTTAAAATATTATGTGGATTACAATTAATAACATTACATAAAATTATCAACAAATTGGCAACGATTAAAATTTATTGTAGTTTGATAAATATATACATACATTTTGATAAGTAGCTAACTAAGTACAACAGCATTTCCATAGCATTGTCCTTTTCAAAATAACCTTTAATAAAGTTAGATAACTTCTTTGTGGAAAGTAACATTTCTTGATATTTTGATTAAAATACAAAGAATAGGTAAAATACTTTTAATTATTTTTTCTAATTATTTCTCATTTCTTTCAGTTAAGAAAATAATCAATGAAGTATGGTAGTTCAAACATATATTTAATTTTGAACCAATGTTAAAAAATTCATTTTAAGTAAATAATACTAAAACCAGTTATATAATATCTTTCGCTACCGTGTTACAAATTTTTACAGTTTGTGATATAAATGATTAATATTTCCTCCACAAGGAATATATAATGTACTTATTATTAGAAATATCAAATTTATATAAATAATACTTGATTATGTAAAGGCATTAATTATTACATTACTTTAAACAAATATTCATCTCACTACTTGTGTAACGATTTACAAATATAAACATCATTAAGGACTAGATGTAATCTACAAGTAATAAATATCAGTATTGGAAGTCTATCTGAATGCTGCAGTTTCTGAATTACTTTTGGCATTGTTCCTTATATTCTTTATGATATTTTAAATATTATAAAATTCTAATATACATAACTCATTGTATAAACATACTAACTACAAAAATATTTATCCAGTTATTTTCGTATTCATCTTGTGAAACTAGGAATTGTACTTTATATTTCCAGAAATTGCTTTTCATAGATCTTACATTGGTATATAAGTATTAAAAAGATATTTCAAAATAGTAATATACTGCTTCTGAGATAGCAGAATACAAAATATATATTCTATTACTACAAAAACGTACTTTATTAATATTATGCATTATTAATACTTCTAGGAATATTTAAAATTAATTTTATTATAAATAATTGCAAGAAATATTTATATTGCTATAATATCTATTCATTATAAGACTTTTTATTGATTTAATAAATTGGCCTCAATTAAAGAAATATTATTATAAAGGAACTTTGAAATAGAAATAGTATGATCCTGTCATTAATTAAACCACAGTCGTGAATACAATACTACATTAATGACAAGATATTATGGCAACAGGATTTAATTTATATTAAAATGTGTATTAAATTTTGTTGCTATAGATATGCTGCTGCGTACATTATAAATAAAAATTGATAACACATGTAAGCCCACTTACATTATTAAAAGAATAAGCATATAAGCATTCTATTCACACAGCATTAGCTACAAGGAAAATAAGAAGTTACAATAATTTTAGACATAGATTATATCTACACTTGCCTATATGTGATGTTTTACAAAAATATTATTGAAAAGAATGTGTAGACATTATTTATGCTTTCCTGACTATATGGTATTTTATCTAACTATCTATCAATATGATTTCGTAATTAAATCATATTGAAAGAAAATGAATCATACTTATGACCCATAATAAGAGTAATAATAATTGATGTTATTAACCATTGCATATATATTAATTATATCTATAACAGAATTTATAACATTGATTTTTAAATTAGGCACTACAACAATAATCACATACATTACACATGAGACATTAATCAAAATTTTAAATACTTACTAATAGGACTACATAAAAGTACAAAAATATTATCAGATTATAAAATATATAATATATACAGCACATGAAAAAATATCAAATCAAAAAAAGAAGATAACACATTAATATTTGAAATCAAAAGAGTGACATTCCATCATGCAATTTAGGTATTACACTGTTAATGAACGATAAAATATCAATACAACCCATTTTTACCAGGCAACAAAATAATATGGTGATTACCATTATAGTAGGACAAACTATTTATAGATTTTTCCAAAAAGTATACAGAGTCAATTAACAATATTTTATCTTTAAATATCTTAATAAATATTATGTGTACTGTTATAAATTTATATATTTTAACTAAACAATTATGCTTTCATATAAATTTATATATTAACTTTAATGTAATTGTATACCACTTTCTTTATATAAAGAAAAGGTACATATAACCATATATACATGTACAGTAATATATTATTAATTAAACTTATCAACAGAATTAAGGCAATCATTCAATCTAAGTAGATTATATTACATATTATCACCACATTACTTTACCCAGAATAAACAGGCTACAAACATGCCACGCACATAAACTATACAAGAGGTCTGATATTTTTGAAGTTACCTCTTGATCAATATAGAATTTGATTACTTTGATAAAGATGTTATACACCAACCATTAAAGGTTAAATATATTATGCGAACCATTTTAACAATTTTCCAAATATAGATAATATAGTCTAATATTATGTGTATATGTTAAAAAAGGTATAACATGATAGCGTCTTTCTTAAAACCGAAAGCCAAAATATGAATACTGTACATGTTAAAATGATTCAATTATATTGCCAAGTATCATTAAAAAGGACAAATCACAATTCAATGGGTACATCCCCATAACTAACCTCCTGTAGTAAATCCTGAGCTGCAATGGCTTTTAAAACATTCTTTTTGCTGGTTTCTTGAATTTCACCGCCAACCAATAACTCATCTAAGATGAAGTATGCTTTCTCAAAGTTGAAAATTATATCTAATTCACATACCTGATAAAGTCAAATTAATATAAAAAATTATTCATTTTCTTCATACAAGTAAACATTTAGTTAATAGTTATAAATTAATATCTTAAAAATTATAAAGACTTATAGAGATCAATATTTGTTATAGCAAACTCGTTAATAAATTTATAATCAATTTTTAATAAAATATATATTCAATGTATGTAAATTTTTGTTATTCTAAATTCACATTAACTATTCCACTGTACAAGTCAAAAAAGAACTCCTCATTTGCACATCTATGAAAGAGACAATGCATCTAGCATATATAGATTATGACCTACGTATGTCACAGGACTGTGAAAGTGTTAATCATAAAATTTTACAACATGAAATTAAATTTGTACTCACACTTCCAAAATATTTGTCTAACAGTTCAACATAACGATGTATAATTTCTAGAGTCAATAATTCATTATCATTTTGTTCTATTGCACAACAAAAATACAAGCTTGCATATCTGTAAAACAAAAAAATTGACTGTAAAATAGTTTGTTAATTAAGTGATATAAGTATCGAAAAAATAAAATTATAATTATTACTATTGCATTAATATTTGATTATAAAAGTAATACAGTTATACCTTTTATAGACAACTTTAACATCTTTCCATTCTAAAAAGCTTGACATTTTAGGTTTTCGGGCCAATATTGTGGTGATCAATTCTCGAGTAATTTTCTTTTTTAATTTATCGGGGTGGGCCACGTACCATTTTTGTAAACGTAATTTTCCTTGACGACTGAACAGTAACATAAATTGCATCTAAAATTTAACCAATTTTACACATACATATTTTTATATTATTTACATAATTTCTATTGAATTTTCAGCTTATCAAGATAAATAATAGACATTTACCATTTTTAAACAAACTTTTTCTAAACGAGTTATAAAATTAATCACAACACTTTTCAATCACAATGTAAAAAATTATTCCAATTCTTATGTGCACTCATCAAAGGTTCGATAGGTTCAGTTCCAATATTCTAATAGGTGGCGTTGATGCAAACCGATGCAAACAAGAATAAATTGTACTTAAAATAATATAGTTTCCACCACAATATAGTAAAGTCGTAAAACTCTTCAAAGTCAATGTACTATACAAATAACACTATAAGTAATATAGGAGGGGTTTGTCATAATCAAAATATGTGCTACATTATCCCGAGAGCTAACTGACACATACAAAGGATTGCATAGACGAGGTCAGACACGACTCTGGCGATAGAGATAGCGTGTAAAGTCATAAAATATGTATTGTACTTGTAACTATAATTTATTTCAACATGAGGGACAGTAAAATGTTTTAAGAACTTTTTCCTTTAAATCATTAACAGAAATTTCACCTATTTTTTTAAATTAAATAATGCAATTTCATAAAAATAAATATTATTTTATAATATTAAAAATACGTTATGGTCAATTCATTGTTCATGGCCGCTATTTATGAATAATAAAATGAAAATATTTTTACAACTAATATGTAAAGGAGATGTGATCTATATATGTGATTTACTAACATTTTGTACGCATTTGTATTTACGAAATATTACATGTAATAAAAATGTACTTTTTCAATGGCTATTATTTTACAGCATTTTTATAAAATGAGTCATTATTATATTTATTCCATAGCCGACTTCTCAAGTACATTGCACGTTTTTCCGGCTTATCTTCTACACCGAAATGATTGTATGAAATATTTATAACTTCATATTGACAGGCTTGTAATAAACGCGTATAAAGATTAACTAATCCAAGTGGTTCTAAAGATCCTAAACTCAATTCATAAAAATCATACATCATTATACCTATCCTGAAATCAAGAAATGTACATTATTTTATATATTTACACATATTCTTATAGTTGGTTATATAATTAATTCAAACAAAAATAATAATGTTTATACATTTGTTAAATTTCCTTAATATACATACTTCCTGCAATCATCTTTAACAGCATTTACACAAACAGGTCTACTATTAGAGTCTAAATATAATTCTGCACCTAAAATATGAAGATTATTATTTTATTATACTATATCGAAAATAAAACACATTTCTAAATTTGCTTAATTATTATACGCCTTTTAATAATGTATAAATTAAGAAGTTTTAATACCTAAAAGAAAGCCCATATTCGTATTTATATTCATTCGGAAATAAGATGGAGATGGAAGTACGTTTTTCAATGTATCTTCAAGCATCTCAAGGTATAATTTCTTTTGAGTTGTATACTTTTTTGTTATAGGCTCCACAGTACCATTTAAAAGTGGTCCTAAAGATACCGTTTATTAAAATATATTTAGACTATGTTATAATGTTTTTTGAGGTATTAAATGTACAATTTATTTTACCTGAATAATCTTTCAATATATATTTTGCATATGCATCGATATTCAATAATTTTAATATGTGTGTATCAAAGCAATTTTCTAAATGAAAAGATTGAATATTAATCTGTCAGTGATGTATAACATATACTGTTCAATAATATATTATATAATATCAAATATACTAACTTGCAGAAGTAAGTTTTGTAATAAAATCATCATCAAATAGTCTGCTAATGCACTCATTGTTTGCTTTATTAAGTACAGTTAACGACCATACCAAGTTTAAATAATCGAAAGTATTTCCTAAGGTAGTTATAGCTGGCAGAAATTTCTAAACATAATTAAAGATATATAGTAAAAAAACTTAATGAGCACAAATAATATTTATACTTGTAATTATCTTAAATACTTTTCACATTACATACTTCTATTATGTTGTCTACTCCCTTTGATTCATGGCCTAATATTGCTAATGACAGTAAGAGTTTTATTAGTTGTGCATAGCTAATTGCATAGTCAGGACGTATAATTACGTCGCACATTCTTTCCAAAAAGTTTTTATTTTTATATCTGATATGTGCCATAGAGTTTACTATAGATATCAGTTTTGAAGAATATGACTTAGAATTGGAAAACTTATGCTCCAAATCAATACAAATTTTGTTAAGTAATCTCTATAACAAATTTGAAATTGCATGTATATATTGTAATCATTAAATTATTATATATAAATATTATTTCAATTTTACCTCGTCTGAAAAATTCAATTTGCCCATACAATACATTAAACTTGCACATTGCCCTGGGCTTAACATATTATTGTATTTAAGAATATTGTTAAATATGTATCTTATAACTGGTACATTTCTATTGTTGTTTTGTGTCAACATTGATACTTCCTGCAAAACAAATAAATATAGACTTGTAACAAAAGTAAAAACAAATGTCAATGTTCTTTTACCCTGATTAGTCCAGATGTGGAAACAGAACCATACTTGTGATCTAAATCAAAAACCATGTCACTAGTATCTATAGATTGTTCATTTGTAGGCTTCTCACTTTTATTAACAATTTGTTGAACTTTATTATTATTTGCTACCCACGTATCAATGATTTTTTTAATCGTTGCATTATCTTCTGGAGACAATAATGATGTCTCTGTCATTTCCATAATTTCTTCTATATTTGTAGCCTTTGTTACATTAACTGTATCTATAGATTTCATATGTAGAAAATTACATACTTCTTTCTTCAATAAGTCAAAATTTGTATGTGGTTTAGGAGTCTCTTTTTTTATGTTTTTTCTTACTTGCTGTAACTAACAATCAAGCCTTGATACATTAATGTTTTCTACATTATTAAAAATATTATTATTACAAAGATATTTGTAAATGAAGAATTACATAAAATAAATATACATGTAGTAAAAATTATAAAGTTATACCTTATTAGCAGTATCAGAAACTGCTGCTGCATTTGTTGTCAATGGCATACTTAATTTCCACCATAATCGAGAAGTAAATTTTGCAGATGCAGTACAAACTATTGTATTAAATTGCAACATTTTTATTATGCTGTAATATGCACAATTAATGTATTAATGAATATAAGCAATCATGGCAAAGACACAAATTAATACATACGTGTAAGTTTCATATGATTTTTTATATTAATAAAATACAAATGCAAATCAAATTTGACCTGACTTAATTTATTAACTCAGTAGCATAGAAATTTCACCGTCGGCTTTAATATACGAAAACCGTTAAAAATATCATTTTAAGGTTATGTTCTAGTTCTCTATAATTTTAACCATTGATCAAAGAACTTCATCATAGACAGAATTTTTGTTTTTATAAACGTCTACAAAAATACAACCTGTTATCAATAAAAGACTTTTATACACAATAGTATTACTTGTATTACCAATTAATTAGCAAGTATTTACCCTTTGATTATGATTTAATCATTTAATTTTTAATAATATAATTTAAAATTACGTATCTTTATAGATACAAATTTTTATAATTACACGTTTAAGACAAAAATTTGCAAAATAAGTTTAAAGTGATGAGATTACTTGCAAACCTTGATACTAAAATACCAATTTTAAAATGTTATGCCTATTTTGAAAAGACCGCCAAAGCACTGAACTGCTGTTTTACGGTGGCGCGTAACTACTAACAGTTTTAAAGTTTACATTTTATATGAAACGTAGAAGCTTACTTTTGACTTGTTAGAATTGATAATAAATAATTCTTTATCAATAGAATGATTTAAATATTGACACTAAAATATATTTAGTATCTGTAACAGTAAGAAAAATAAAAAGGAGTACTTGAAGTAATAAATATTTTTAATAGTTTCACTATGATGCCTCGTTGTTAATTAACTTTTTACAAAAAGAATGTCGTCTAATTTCTATACGATTAACAATACAAGAATTGTTGTTATACAAAGTTATAAAATTAATTGCAAATTGACTTTATCTACAGATATAAAACAGGAATTGACATTATCTACAAGTTAGCTACATTCTAGAGATTCTTCATCTTCAAATTTTAGGTATTTAATATATGTATAAACCTGAAAGACTGTTAATCACCGTATTTCTAATTTCCTAAATCTCTAAGTTTCAAAATACAAATTTTTACATTATCAAATTTTCAAATTTTTTGTCTTGAAAATTCGTATTGCTCAGAGTTCATTAAAATATAGTAAATAATTTTTAATCAAAGTAATATCTATTTCAAGTACGAGTTTACTCAGCTCAAGTTCCGAAATTTTAGTAACCTTTTAACTCTTTCATTTATTTGAACACAAAAGATGCTACTACGTTCATATTCCTACAAAATGAAAATAAAAGCATCTGTTTAATCTTTGAGCCACAAAATTTATATTCAAATATTATATTGTAAATAAGTAGTAATTTTTAAATTTAATCCTTCCATTATTCTATTTTTTAAAAGTTTCGTACCAAATATTTTATCACGTTTGTGATCATTTTTAGATATTTTAAAATTATAATATTCATCAAAATTATAATGTTCCTTCAATATGGATCAGAACAGCGAATTTAATTTTCAATCCAATAAATATGTATCTGATTTTGTATACACATACAAATATGATCGATACAATTCGAGGGAAGGTGTGGTAATTGAGTGGAACATCGATTCATTTCTAACTCTTGAAGTCAATGAACCTAATTACAAGGAACCACGCCCAAATGTAAACATTATTACGAATATACATTCTGACGAAATGCAGTATTTTCAAGTTATTTCTCGAATTCCAAAATTACCGAATCTTTTCATTCTTAACTCTCTAAATTTTCCAATTTTTATACAATCAAAACTTTTCAAATTCTTAAATTCTTGAATTCTTGAATTCTTTAATTGTTAAATTACTAAATTCTTTAATTTTTTAATTTTTAAATTCTTCAATTCTTGAATACTTCAATTCTTCAATTCTTCAATTCTTCAATTCTTCAATTCTTCAATTCTTCAATTCTTCAATTCTGCAATTCTTCAAATTCCCATATTCCTAAATTCTCAAATTACTAGATTCCCAATCTTTCAAATTCCCAATCTCACAAAATTTCCAACTTCCCAAATTCTCAAATTCCAAAATTCATAGTTACACAAATCCTCAAATCCTCAAATCCCCAAATCCCCAAATTCCCAAATTCCCAAATTCCCAAATTCCCAAATTCCAAAATTCCCGAATCCCCAAATTTCCGTATCCTAAATTTAAAAATCCCAAAATCTCACAATTGCCGAATCAATTTTTCAATTTTCCATTCTTGATAGCTAAAAAACTAGAAAATTTGCCAACCATAAATGAATGGGGGTTCTCTTCTATCTATTTTCGATTTTCTACGTATAGAAAAATCAGTGATGCTCGCTGAGTCTCTACGTCAAATGGCACATTTTCATGCATATTACAAATTAATGGCACCAAATTAATCTGAGCGTGTTTTAAAACAGTAAACAATAAGTTGACGAGTTGCTCAAACCGATAAAATCGAACACGTTGCTTCGAGATTTTACGTCAACGTTTACGTACAGTATTACGTCGATCAAGTTGTTCTTCCTGCGTAAAGCAGTTGACAATTTGAGTAATCTAAAAATTTCATTTACATTAAACGTACACTTCATTTGACTGTTATAAGATAATGTAAATTACGTACCGTTTAAATGAACAGATTATAAAATCTAGGAAATTTTATATTTATTCATTTGACGAAATTCAAACACAGTTCTGAATGCTATCAACAAATAATCTATCGATTCGAATAATTTCCACTGTAAGATATATGCAGACTGGATAATTATTAAGAATTGTAATTGCATAGATATAAATAATTCGTAAGTATACTACGGGTCAGATGAACACCTGTTCATTACTGTACATTTCCTATGTGGCAGTTTGTTCTTATTTAAACAGATAGATTTTATTGAGCATTTCTATCCAGCGACTGCTCTTAATGAAATTCATAAAAATCATACAAGAATTAAGGGAAAATTATTTTTAAAAATTATTGGTGTAAAAGTGTATAATTGATTATAATCAATTGATTATACATTTGATGTATAATTTGATAATCAAATTTTTGATTATCATTGGAGGAAGATTTAGTTCTGACTATTATTGTTATTATCATTATTACTCAGATGGCTTCCCTGCTTAGAAAGCGTTCTCTAATAAATCTCCGACCGAAATGTTTCTATCACAATATTATAACACATATTTAGGAACTTGGAGATTAAAGTTAGGAATATAGAAATGTCAAATTTTTAATTTTCTAGCTTTCGAATTTGAAAAGTTAGGAACCTGCAAACATAGAAATTTCAAGTTTTGAAATACGAAAAGCACCCATCACTGCTCTTGAATACGTTAATTATATTATCGTAATAATTTATATAATTACTATATAAAAATTACACCGAATAACCTCAAATTTGTAACTTATATTTTTAGAAACAAAATACCGTAGTTTTAATACGGTGATTCAAAAAAATATTTTTGTACAATGAATGTTAATTGAAACGATATATAATTAATTCTGTTAACTGTACATTGTTTGCAAAACAAATAAATTGTTTACTTCATTCCGCATAACTATTCCTCATATTACTATGAATAAATTAGCCTGTCCTAAAACTCTATTGAAATATTTTTATATTTTTTTTGCAAATTTCAATTGTTATTTTTACTTATGTAATATTTCGTGCTAGCAACTTCACGATATCATCTTTGATTGAACAAAAAATTATATAATATTGGTTTATATAGGAATATCAAGCTTTTTTAATTTTTTAGTAATTTTCATTACGTTTATATCTGTTTTTTGATTAATTCAATTACAAATTTCTACATTTCCAAATTTTCTCATTTCCTAATCCTCAAACCCTCAAATTTCTGAAAGATTAAATTCCTTAGATTTCTCAGCTCTTCAATTCGCAAATTTCGAGAAATCCGAATTCTTCTATACTCATACTTTCAAATCGAATTCCAAATCCCAAATTCTCATGTACCCAAATTTTCAAATTGCCAAAGTTCCACAGATTCAAAAGTTCAAATCTCCAAATTCCAATATATGCAAATTATGAAATCTCCAAATTCTCACATAGCTATATCTTCAAATTCCTATACCCAATTTCATACCCAAATTTCCAAATTCTCACATACCTAAGTCTTCAGATCTTCAAATCCCCAAATTCCAAATCCCAAATCCCTAAATTCGTTTCCATAATAAATAATTTCATTTCTCACCCGTAATATAAGAGAGCTAGTACAATTCGTACGAGAATTGTTTAAAATATAAGAAAATTCCAAAATCTATTCCGTTAGACCATTTACCAGTCGCGAATTAACGAATTTCCGAAGCACGTGATTCATCCCTAATTACGCTGTACACTGCAAGATAAATGTATTCTTTGCGTAAATCCACGATATCGAACGAGTGCGATTAAACGAAGAAAAAGCATCGTGCACGAGGGAACGCGTATTCCCGTGGAATTTCTCGATGGAAATCTGAAAACTCGAGAAATGTCGCGTGCGTCACCGGCGTGGCGAACGAGCGATACGAAGTAGCGTGGATGCAAAATCAGTTCTGCACGTGGATCTTCGTCGAGAAAATAGTGGAGGGAGTCCGATTTTCGACTTGACGAATCGTGTTCTCGATCGTCACGAGCCGATCTTGCAAGCGCATGACAATATTTAAAGCGACGCGACCGTGGATCTCGCGAACGTTTTCCACCGGCGCTCGCGAAGAAACAAGCTTTCCGCGAACAGTCTTCGTCTGGGCTCTGACCAACGAACTTAGAATGGTTAATCAGATCACCACCTTGTCCTATACCGTAGGTTAGTATCTAATATTTATTTTCTTCGTAACACGCTTCTTCCATGTACGTGGGTGGTCGAATTATTAGAGTCGCTAATTTTGTGCGCGTGAAGATGTATCTATGATAACACAGTAAATACTGTCACTTAGTGCAACAAATATTAATGTCAATCAATATGTCATTCGTTGACATATGTTATAGATAGTACACTTTCGTGTTTAACGGTATTTTTACAAATATGCTGTGTATAAATATGTTTGTAGTGCAGAAGGAATCAGTGTCAGCATTCATATACTTGAGAAATTATTAAGTTAATGTTAAATTCATTTTACTTAACACTTTTTACGTGCAAGGTTCAAACACTTATAACGGAAGTATTATTAAATTGTTAATAACATCGAGGAACAGTTAAAAACATGTATTGTTTGAAAATGGTACCTATGATAGCATACTATATGTAGAGTAACCTGGCTCAACAAATACCAATAATAGTGTTCATTAATTTGATACATTAGAGTCACTAAAAATATGTTTTTTGTGTATGTGAAAATGATAGCTAGAATGATTGTAAATACAAACGTATCTATGGCATGGTGTAACAAATAGCAGTGTTAGTATTCATAAATTTAAGACATTAGTCGCTACAAATATATTTGAGTATGTGAAAAAATGGTTCTAATAGCAATATATAGTATACAAAAATACATATGTGATTTAATGAAAATTGTACCAATGTTATTAAATAATATTCACATATTAATAATAAATAGTATTCACCAATTTGAGAAATTAGAGTCAGTAAAAGTATTTTTTGTGTATGTGAAGGTGGTGCTTATAGCAAGACACTGTATATAAAAATGTACCTGTTGCTTGATGCACCGGGTATCAATGTCAATGTATACATGAATATTGGTTAGGTTAATAAGTTGAGAGAAACTTAAATATAAGTTGAAAGTTTCATGTTCGAATAATTTTTGACACAGAAATTTTTGCTATTCTAAATTGAGTCCTTGATGCATGAAAAGGAGGGAATTATAGCTTGTTTGTGCATTTTAAAAATGGTAGAATATACGCAAAAAGAAAGTTTAGATAAAGTTTGAAATCAGCATATACATATGCTATTTTAAATATTTCTGAATAGAATTTGACATTGTTTTTTATACTTGTTTGCAAGGTGAATATTGTGCATACTATACTTACGATACGCATTTGTTTTGGAATTAAAAATGAAGTTAAAAAATAAAAAAAAGAATGATAAAATGTAGATTAACGTAATTATTTGTCAATATTAATTTATTTTTTCGACAAAATTGCATTATTTGCACCAAGTCACAAATAAGTGTGCAGTTTGCATATATGTCAATAATTGAGGAGCAAGTATTACAAATTACTGATAAAATGATAATATTTCTTTGCATAAATATATTTTTTAAAGCTTAAAATAAAAACACAAAAGTATAATGATGAATAAAAAGCTTGTTTATTTACTAAACTATGAAAAGATCGCTCATCTAATTTCTGATGTATATCATATTTTTTAAATCGAAATTATTCCGCGTAAAACAAAATTTTCTCGTAATCTTTCGTATTGATCAGATATCACAATTTGAGTATTGTGTAAATTAAGGGTCAGGTATATTAACAATTTTTATTTTCATTTGACATAGTGAAGTTCTTGTTTTTTTTATGTGACATGGGTGACTTAGAATTTATAGTGGTGGAGTTGTAACAGTAAAACTAAAGTTAACAACTATACATATGCATTATAAATGTACTATATTACAAATAGGATGGTAACAATATTTTAAAAAGTAATAAAAACTTTTAATAAATATTCATAAATTTTGTAGTGGTGATAATGATATACGAATTTGTATTCTTTATATGGGGAGGGGGTGGTAACCTAACCTAACATTCATGGTAAATTCACTAATAATATATATTATAAATTAAAAAATTAATAATAATTTTATTTTAATTTAATTTTATATAGTAATTTGAATTTTAAGAATTTTACCTCCAATTCGTTATGAACCACTTAATTTATTGTCTAATCTAAAATATGTACATGTAGATATCTACCTTATATAAATGAATTAAAACGACATTCACGTTCTTTCCTGCAGAATAATAAGATACTAAAATTCTATAAATTACAATTTTTAAATAATTGTAATCCAAATTAATATAATACAATATAATTAGAATAATATATAATATAATTTGTAGGAAAACTTGTGCTAAATTTTTTTACTCTTTTACGATGAAATTTAATCAATTTTGCTATAAAATATTTAAAGAGTGCAAACTTACAATTAATTGTGAACGTCTTCATATGTAATTCATATGTAACAATATGTAAGTGTCTTTAGTGTGATGTTATAGGGGTAATAATAACGTAACAACACGATAATAACATAGTAAATAGATCATACCGAACGCATTAATTACCGTAACTTGGCATAAGCATTGCGGAATCCGTCATTTTAACAAATCTGGTTGTTCACCTCGTTCGATAGTTATTTCGGAAGGTGGTGAATCTAGTTATTTCAGGCAATGTATTGTGTGTCCCACGAAATACGTGAGAGGTGTATCACCCATTTCGTACTCGTTAGTATTCTTTAAACAATGCATTAATTCACCATCCGGTATCAAAAATATTGTTACAAGGACGATACATTAAAATCGATACGATTCGGAAGTTGCCACGTGTATTTGGTTCCGTTAACACAGCCTTTTACTTCATAAATTTATTAATATATTATCCAATATAAATTCTGTGTATCCATTACTATATTATTACTGTTAATTAATTATTTATATTATAAATGTTATAGTATACATTTATACTATTTTATGTATTTGTAGAAATTGTAGTACACATTTACTTTACATATTTATAAAAATTATAGTATACATTTATGCTATTTTATATATTTGCAAATATTATAGTATACATTAATATTATTTTATATATTTGCAAATACTATAGTACACATTTATATTATTTTATGTATTTACAAATATTATAGGATACATTTATATTATTTTATGTATTTACAAATATTATAGGATACATTTATATTATTTTATGTATTTACAAATATTATAGGATACATTTATATTATTTTATGTATTTACAAATATTATAGGATACATTTATATTATTTTATGTATTTACAAATATTATAGGATACATTTATATTATTTTATGTATTTACAAATATTATAGGATACATTTATATTATTTTATGTATTTACAAATATTATAGGATACATTTATATTATTTTATGTATTTACAAATATTATAGGATACATTTATATTATTTTATGTATTTACAAATATTATAGGATACATTTATATTATTTTATGTATTTACAAATATTATAGGATACATTTATATTATTTTATGTATTTGCAAATATTATAGTATACATTTATATTATTTTACATATTTATAAAAATTATAGCACATATTTATACCATTTTATAACTTGCAAAACTTATAGTATACATTTATACTATTTTATGTATTTGTAGAAATTGTAGTACACATTTACTTTACATATTTATAAAAATTATAGTATACATTTATGCTATTTTATATATTTGCAAATATTATAGTATACATTAATATTATTTTATATATTTGCAAATACTATAGTACACATTTATATTATTTTATGTATTTACAAATATTATAGGATACATTTATATTATTTTATGTATTTGCAAATATTATAGTATACATTTATATTATTTTACATATTTATAAAAATTATAGCACATATTTATACCATTTTATAACTTGCAAAACTTATAGTATACATTTATACTATTTTATATGTTTGCAAACGTTATAATATACATTTACCGTATAAATAATATAAAACCTAGCAATTTTAATTCGTTTATGCAAGTACAAATTTCGCGGAAATAAATAAAAAATTTGTTTATTAATAAACGCCATTAATAATCATTTTAGTAAACAAACACGTAATTTCAAGAATGTAACTTTGTTAACAAAACGATCTGAAAAAACAATTTAATATTAGTACCTCATTATAACATTTGTTGTGCTCATATTTCCGTAATTTTTAAACAAAATATAAACGACTGCTTTTACTCTCACACAGAAAAGGTTATTGTTGAATTCATTTTACATAACACTTTTCACGTGCAAGGTTCAAACACTTATAACGGAAGTATTATTAAATTATTAATAACATCGAAGAACAGTCAAGAATGAAAGCAGAAGGTATAAAAAATAACGAATGCAATTCAAAACATTTATGAAATGTGTTTATCAATAATTCTATTTTTGTCTGATAAACTTTCGTACTATATTTTGAGTTCTGTTGGATTTTAATTCGATCTCGGGATTCATTGTGATCTAAATATCATTGGAGCAGGTCCAACGAACTCGTAGTACGAGGAAGTAGTAGTAGAATCAAAAACAAAAAGCAAATGTGCGTGTTATTTTGAGATATAACCTTTTGAGAGACGGATATCCTTCTTTTTTAACGAAAATAGGTACTTCCGTAATTTTTCAGTAAGATCACTTAATAATAATATAGGCTCTTATCAATTACTATTAAGTATACTTATATAAGATCTATTTGACAAGTACAATTAAACATTAACACATGACATACAATTGATATACCATTTTATTGATATAAGACATGTGACTTTATATCACTTTTTTGATTAAAGGAGTGTAAAATTTCGCACGAAAAAAGAAAATAATCGAGTGAATTTCGATAACCTAAGTTTTGCAACGAGATAATTCTTGAATCGAAATTATCGGTCATTATAGAAATTCTGTTATTACATAAATGTACAAATTTTTGCCCGTAAAAATTTATGCGATTATCGATTATATTTCGATGCAAATACTTTAAATGCAAGTTTAAAGTTTGAGACTTTAAGTAATAAGATTCTTTGAGTTAGTAATTGAGACTCTTAATAATAAGTTTAGTATTAAAATTACAAACTTAAGTAATTAAATAGATAA